TTAACATGCCTTTTCAACAACAATTTTGAAGCTTATTTTTCCACACTTTCCAGTCCTTTTATTTTATTTTTGGGGAGGAGAGTAGCAACGTCGGGTATAGTCCTGCACAGTGGAAAATGACATCCAGGAGGTGCTTTTGAAGTCCTTCCAACGTGAGGATTTGTTACCAGTGTGTGTCTGGAACATGGCAGGTACTCAGGCAATAGGGGCTGAATGAGTGCTTCTGTGCCCAACAGGTGTAAGGGAACACAGAGAAAGGTCTTCCTGATGCACAGCTGGGCATCCTGACAGGTGTTAGTAGCAAAGGTTAAATGAAATATTGAGCTGTTTTCTACCTCATTGATATAGGTTTAGATTATATATGAAAATAATAATTTTAGTGTTTTACACAGTGTTTGACAAGTGCTCTAACAGTAGGTGTTCCTGCTGCTTTCATTCTAACTACGGATATCAATGTACTTAACTACAGAAGCTGCTTTGAAATCAGAAAGGAGCTAGAGTACAGAAGGAGTCTCACTTTAAGTCAGCAGTCCCCAACCTTTTTGCCACCAGGGACCGGTTTCATGGAAGATAATTTTTCCATGGACCCAGGGTTGAGGGGCAGGGGGAGCTCAGGCGGTGATGCAAGCGATGGGGAGCGGCTGTAAATACAGATGAAGCTTCACTCGTTCCTGCCGCTCACCGCCTGCTGTGCGGCCCAGTTCCGGTTCCTAAATTTCATGGGAGACAATTTTTCCACGGATGATTGGGGGTGGTGGCGAGGGGGGAGGCAGAGCTCACTCAGGTGGTGATGCATGGCCTGGTTCTTAAGAGCCCATGGACTGGTCGGGGCTGCAGCCCAGGGCATGGGGACTGCAGCCTTATGAGGAATAATGAGAATCCTTCCAACATATCAAAGTTTGGGGACAACTTATTACCGTATTAACTGGCAAAAAGAAGTAACCCTCCATCCTTTGTCAGGAAGTGTCTTGAATTATGGGAATTTGGGATCAGGTGAGGTCTTGGGGATGATAGCCAGGATACCAAAAAGGACAAACAGGAATCGCAGCAGGGGGTAGAGGTGCATGTGAGTGATTTCCAGGGGTAGGAGCCGGAGTGGCTCATTTCCAGAGAGCAAGGTGGCAGCGGGTGGGATGGCAAGTGCAGGAGGAGAGCTCCCATTCTTCCCAGGAGGGGCAGAGGTGAACAACTGAAAGGCCAGCTGCCAGGTGAGCAAAGGTGCCAGGTGTGGAGGTGGCAGGG